TTCCAGTGTCAAATGACGTTTGAAAGGGCATCGACAAAAGCCCAGAAGGTTCACTGGAATGTTCCTTGAGAAGCTTGGGTGGAATCTCGTCTGGTCCTGGCGACTTCGATTTGTTCAATGTCTTTAATTCTTTTCGGGCAATGCCTTCTGAGAAGAGTGTATCACTCATGCTTGGGGTCGGCAGTTCTTCTGTTGAGGGAGGAAGGAACCTTGCCTCGTTTGTGTAGACTGATTGGAAAACCTGTGAAAAATACGAAGTTTTATCCCTACTATCAGCAATCTCAACGCCATCCGTAGTCCTTATTAAGGGGATTTGATGTCTGTTCCTTGTACTTCGTCGAAGGTAGCTGTGGAGTAATTTTGGGTTCTGCATTGCCTTCTTCTCAAATTCCCGCCGTATTTTCCATCGTGTTTCTCAGTTTGTTCCTCTGTGTCTTTTAGGTGTTGAAATATTCAACTTGCCTAGTGACGCAGTATTTTCTCTACAATTTGTGCATCCTGTTGATTTCTTTCTTAAGGTTGCTATTTAGCCACCCAGGACGTTTGTCCAGTCTTACACTAGTCAGTGGGCAGAGGTTGTTGATGAGCTGAAAAAGGACGTTCTTGAACAACTCTCTGTCATCGCTGGCATTATGCGTAAGCAGTGAGCTCCAGTCGAGACCGGATAAGTCTGCCCTCATCTGATTGAAGTCGCCCCGCCAAACATTGCATCTTTTTTGGTCTGGAGTATGCGAAATGGCGAATAACGAATAATCCCATATAAGCACTACATGGTCACTTCGGCCAAGGGGCGGCATGGGGATGATCTCGTCTATGCCGCCTGGTGCTTTCGTAAGAACCAGATCCTGACAGTTTGTCCTTTGTCTCTTACGTTTTCTCGTTGGAAACATTACATGTTGTGTGAGGGATGCCTTTAATGTTTTATTCAACAGACGGTAATCGAACGTCGATTTTGGACCTGACGCTTGGAGCGTGTTTCAGTTTGTTCCTGATGCTTTGATCATGATCGTATGTAGACCGCAAATTTTCTCCAACTGCTCCAATAGTTGAGTATCGGTGATTTGGGCTGTCCTAGGTGGTTGATAGACAGTGAGTGCATCGATACTAGGGGAACCAGTAGCCTTGGTGGTCAACTAAATAACTTCCCTGCTGCACACAAACTTGATGGTATTTTCCGGCACTTTCAGGCCTTCCACCACCCTAACGATATTCCCTGTCTCTCCGATAAATTCGGTAATCAGGCAAGGCTATTTTACTATCGCTAATATACCCGGACAGCCAGGTCTCGGTTACTGCTAAAACATCCAGAGGCAGTTCGGCAAGGCAAAGTTTTAGCTCATCCAATTTCGATACGAGGCTTTGGGCATTTATATGCAAGCGCCTCAATTTTGCACCAGCCCAATTTCCGGCTGCATTGGTCACTGTTTTTGAGCATTACTACGTAATCACAGACGCCATTGTCTCTGGGCTCTTCTGTTACATGATGGGTTCGATTAATGTCCGTTGCTTCAGTCAGAGTACTGGACATTAAGGGTTTACTTGTGTTGTCGCCCCTAGCGGCTGTTTCCATGAAGGTGTCTGCGTTAGCTGAGTAGTTGCCGTCGTTCTTAGTATTACTGACTGGTTCCACTGAGACGCCATATTTTTCCGAACTACTTTCCCCTTGAAGATAGCCAGATTGTGTTCGCCACCCTTCAGTCTCGATTTTAACTCCAATACGAGTTCCCGGCGTTTCAGCCGTTCCGCTTGTGAGTAGTCCGAATGAAAAAACCTGTTTTTGTGTGTTTCTGCGGTCGTTTTTTAGAGAGGATCAACTTGATTTGTTCTTTGTTCACCAGCATAATTATGAGAGGGCGAGGTGGTTGTGCTGCTGTCCTGTCTTCACTCCGTTTTCCTACCCGGAATGCTTTCAGAACCTTTATTTCCATGTCTGCTTGAAATGGTTACTTCAGTAGACCATGAAAAGAAGCAAAATCCTCTGGGATACGATCTTCAGGTCTGACTGCATTCGATTCAGACAAGCCCTGAATAAGCGGACACTGTTGGCGGTCCCGGTCCTCCTTATTTTGTCTTTGCGGTGAATTCTCTGCATGTGGGCGAGAACTATTTAAGGATTCCTCGCTTGGACGCAAACTTTTGCTGTCGACTGACTGTCCCGAGCAACCCATCAGGGCTGGTTGTGACTCCAGACTCCTGTTATGGAGTTTCCTTATCACGCCTACTCAGGGGCCCCTGTGTTCGCATTCAAATGCGTGCTCTGTAGGGCAGTCGGGGTGGTTGCGAGAAGAAGTGGGTAACAGTAGACTTGATGACATAGTTATATGGCCTCTTAGCAATAGAGAAATCCCGTAGCATACAGCAAGAGGCGTAGACGAGTTGGCATCCGCGCCAGGTAATTTTTTCGTGACATTGCTTAAATCTTCTTGCGTGGAAATCGAGTCTGCCCTTATCGGCGGCTTCGTTTTCATTGTCCTACTATTACCGGCATCCGCGGTAATAGTTAAACGACAAATGCCAATAACGAGCTTATTTTAGTTCATTTATAAACAGCGTTCTTTAACTATTTAACATGTGGCCGACATATAGGCCGTTGGGCGACATCAAACAAACTGAATTTCTAAAGCGATGCCCAGCATGAGTAAACAGTGACTTTGTTGTTAGCCTTGGAGGTAGTATGCGGAATGATTTTGTCATGGTACAGTGGCCGACATCTCTAAGCTACCAGAATCAGTAGGCATTGAAAACGGACGGATAGGACAGCATTTTCTGGATCATTTGGCTCTGAGTTGAGGCCTGATGGTTGCCTCCGGCCTGTGTGCAGGCCCAACGCGAATTGGAGTAAGATGGAAACTGACGGCCTCCTGGAGTTCTTCACGCCCGAAGGAGCTCACTGAAATTAAGGATCGGTTGGACTTAAACTTTGCTGTCGTTTGCGTATGCACTGGTTGATGAAGTTGTACGATTAGCCATTAGCCGTCATTACCTGTCGAAGATACTGTACTAAAAAGTTATTACTACCCGCGCAACGTTACCAACCAGTACATACGCAAACGACAGCAAAGTTTATGTCCAACCGATCCTTAATTTCAGTGAGCTCCTTCGGGCGTGAAGAACTCCAGGAGGCCGTCAGTTTCCATCTTACTCCAATTCGCGTTGGGCCTGCACACAGGCCGGAGGCAACCATCAGGCCTCAACTCAGAGCCAAATGATCCAGAAAATGCTGTCCTATCCGTCCGTTTTCAATGCCTACTGATTCTGGTAGCTTAGAGATGTCGGCCACTGTACCATGACAAAATCATTCCGCATACTACCTCCAAGGCTAACAACAAAGTCACTGTTTACTCATGCTGGGCATCGCTTTAGAAATTCAGTTTGTTTGATGTCGCCCAACGGCCTATATGTCGGCCACATGTTAAATAGTTAAAGAACGCTGTTTATAAATGAACTAAAATAAGCTTGTTATTAGCATTTGTCGTTTAACGTTGTTTTATGTCGCCTGAGCAGATGGGTATACTCTGATAATAAATAACCACATCCTAACGTTAAAATCTATTTCCAGCAGAGTTGCAGAAGAATTGAATGGAGAGTATAATTGACATATGTCAAACTGGAATGCAGAACTGTTTCAAAACTATGCCTAATCTCCTTAAAAGTATACTGAAATCGATATTACATGAACGTTTATCCAAACCTCCTTGAACAAGATTTTGTTGCAGTTTGAAAAGCTCTTGTTCAGCTTCATCGGGCATATGGTTAACCCATTCTGACTTCATAACTTTTTCACAGAAAGGGAATCTTTGAAAGAGCTTGGGACAAGTAATTAGACTTCTCAGCAAACAAGATTTTCTGGTCTATCTAAAATCCTAAGCGGTCTTATCCACCATCCCTTCTGCAAATTTCCACTGCGCCTTTATCTGTTAAACATTAAAAATGCATACTAGAAGCTACAAGCATAAGCCGGTTGTATCTTACAACTGACCATAGATAGATAAGATTCAAACTGTGAAGAAACCACTGCACTAAATAACAAGCTAGATCTTTCTCCCAATGAGGCTTGCAGAGAAATAACAAGGAGACATGATATCAAAGCAATTCAAAGTTTCTCTGAGCATGATTCAGATTATCGGAAACGAATACAAACATAATACCACTGGAAAAAAACTATAGAGGGCTTCATACTTGCTGGTAACATAGTGAGGTCCCAATATAAACTGATGAACTTCGGTTCGATGAAGTGCTTATGACCCATCTGGTAGGCCTCAGTGGTGGACCGACTGCGCCAGGTGCGTCTGTGCGCATGTTTGTGTTTCTGGTCTCAGCTGCTGGTGGTCAGGGTTATGATTGGCTGAATGAAGGCAGAATAAGCCCGAAACAGTGCTGTATCAATCTACCCGCATTCTCTGTCGTCCCTCCTCGCTGCTATTATGACTTGGCCGACTTCGGCCTGGTAATTGGTTGCCTGTTCGTGACCTTTGCCACACATACGGAGCTTGTTTGCTTTGTGAAGCCAATAGATATGATAGAAGCGAAGATGCGCGTCCCCGGACATAAATGAGAAGAAGAGACGATCTCGGGAACCATAATTGTATTGTCCTGACGTTTCAAAATCAAACAAGATTTCATCGTCGGAGGTGAGTTTTGTACCACGCCTCACAGTATTTATAGGTGGTGATGGTCTCCTTTCAACGGGTTTACCTCTCGTCGGGGGCCGGCGTTCGGGCGCTAGCCGTCATCGCACGTGTTCGCATGGATCTTAGTTCTCGTCCTAGGCTGGCAATCTTCTTTACGACCTCGTGACGGCCTGTGTTCTCACCTGCCGGATGAGTGGCAGTGACACTGGCACCTTCTTCAGGTCCGTTTCTGTTACTGCGACCGTCCGTTCTCTCACCTGCCGGACAAGTGGGTGTCGCGACTGTTGTGACGATCGCACCTTCGCCAGATCCAAGTTGAAGTGCAGCTGCGTTTGTGTCCCCCATGGACCCAGCCGTAATTGGGTTCCTTTATTCTCGTAACCAGCGTTTGTTCGCCTGTTCTCTGAGCTGCGTCCGGAGGGCCTGGTAGGCTTCGGGAAGCGCTACACAGCGGTTGATGGAGTTCGTGCTGGTGTGCCAGGCCTCAATTGTTTCCCTGGTTACGCGATCATTTCCTCGGCCCAGGATTTCGGCACTCTGGAAAGCGAATGTGTGTCCAGAGTTTGCGCAGTGTTCTGCCACCAGGGATAACTGGTCCATCCTCCTTACGGCCCTCATGTGTTCTTTAACATGGGTCTGGAGTCGTTTACCGGTCTCCCCAATATAGTTCATCTCGCAGGAGCTGCATTGGATCCGATAAATCACGTTTGTTGTTTCACCGGGTGGCAGCGGGGACTTGGGTCTCATTACCAGATGCCGGATTGTTGACTCTGGCCGATGGACAATGCCGATTCCCAGTGGCCTTAGGAGACGGGAGACCGCCTCAGAGACGCCGTCAATGTAAGGAAGGGCTCGCCAGACTTTTGGTCTTTCTGTCACTGGGCTTCGGCTTGGCACAGGCTGCCTGTTGCGTTCTATAAAATTTCGAGGATACCCGTTCGCCATGAAGAGGCGCTGAAGGTGGCGTAGTTCCGACCTTTTGTCGTCCGGCTCGCTGCAGTGTGTGTCTGCCCTTTTGTATAGTGTGCGTACACAGCTGCGTTTGTGGGACAACGGGTGCTTGCTGTGGTAGCTAAGGATTTGGCGCGTATTGGCGGCCTTCCTATACACCGTTGTTTTCAGGTGTCCATTTGGGTTCCGGTGAACCAGTACGTCTAGGAACGGTAGTTCGTTGTTGCTTTCGGCCTCCATTGTGAATTGAATATCAGGCGAAATCGAATTGAGGACATTGTGAAAGGTTTGAACCATTTCCCGCTTGATGATGACAAAGGTATCATCAACATATCGAGCCCAAAATTTTGGCCTGTAGGTCTCGAAGACTCCGGTCTCTACCTTCTGGAGAACTGCTTCTGCGATGAAGCCTGAAAGCGGCGATCCCATCGGCGTCCCCTTGGTCTGTTCGTACACCCTCCCGTCGAAGGTGAAGAACGTCTTCAGGCAGAATTTCAGCAGTTGAATGAAATGAGTCCGTTTCACACTTTCTTCCGTCTCGTCGTACTTGCATTCGAGCAGTTCGCTAACCGTTTGGACTGCTAGGCATTGCGGGATCGAAGTGAAGAGAGCGGTGACATCGAATGACACCATGACCTCGTCTTCGCTGAGTCGGATGCCTTTGAGCCGTTCTAGGAATTGAGCCGCTGAACAGACGGTCGTGGCTGCGTTCGAGGTGAGAGACCTCAGTTTGCGGAATAGCCATTTTGCCAGATTATATGTAGGTGTACCGCGCAATGAAACGATTGGCCGGAGAGGGAGACCGGGTTTGTGTACCTTCGGTAGGCCATAGAAACGTGCTGGAGCCGCATCTGTCGGCTTAATGGTCAGCCGCACCGATTTGCTTATTGCTTTGTTTGATTACATGTCGGTGAGCGTCTTCTCCAGTTGCGTCACTAACGTCTTTATCGATTCCTCACCACATGGGAGGTACGCCTGTCTGTCTGGCGAAGGTGCGATCGTCACAACAGTCGCGACACCCACTTGTCCAGCCGGTGAGAAAACGGACGTTCGCAGTAACATAAGCGGACTCGACGAAGGGGCCAGCTTCACTGCCACTCATCCGGCAGGTGAGAACGTAGGCTGTCGCGGGGCCGTAAAGATTGCCAGCCGAGGTCGAGAAGTAAGATCCACGGGCGACACGAACGCAGCTGCACTTCAACTTGGATCTGGCGAAGGTGCGATCGTCACAACAGTCGCGACACCCACTTGTCCGGCAGGTGAGAGAACGGACGGTCGCAGTAACAGAAACGGACCTGAAGAAGGTGCCAGTGTCACTGCCACTCATCCGGCAGGTGAGAACACAGGCCGTCACGAGGTCGTAAAGAAGATTGCCAGCCTAGGACGAGAACTAAGATCCATGCGAACACGTGCGATGACGGCTAGCGCCCGAACGCCGGCCCCCGACGAGAGGTAAACCCGTTGAAAGGAGACCATCACCACCTATAAATACTGTGAGGCGTGGTACAAAACTCACCTCCGACGATGAAATCTTGTTTGATTTTGAAACGTCAGGACAATACAATTATGGTTCCCGAGATCGTCTCTTCTTCTCATATATATATATATATATATATATTTAGAAAGATGAAGTTCTTTGGGAAACAGCATTGTTGGCGCCTGCCAATCAAGAAAAGGCCGCGAATTCCTGGAAGCAATGCACTCAGATGAGGCATGCATCAACCAGCATATCGATTTAGATGCCGCATACAAAATCGTTAAGGACAGATTCAAACTGAGTCAGCCAATCCCGAGATGACGATCTTAACCTATCATTGACTCCTTTTGCTAGACTCAGGCTAAATTTAATTGTTTTTGCACACCCATTGTCTGAAGACGAGCTGGGGAACCAGTCTCGAAAATTCACAATAAAATTTTGCTGGTTCCCAAAGAACTTCATCTTTCTAATTATATTTCTTGGGATGCCTGTTTTTCAATTCAATATATATATATATATAAAACATGAGCAGCTCGCTAAGAGTGCGACAGACCATACGCAGACAGCTGTTTCACGGCCGTTACCGATCATCAGTACGTCATAGGCCTTAGGAAGTGAGGTATATAAGCATGTCAAGTGGGCGTTTGACCCTCACTGTTGTGGTTAGGATCTCAATCCATCCCATTCTGTCCGCCCGCCAGCTTGCTACTGGCGACAACGGACGCTGTGTCAGAGGACACATACCACATATAATACATGAGCAGCTCGCAAAGAGTGCAACAGACCAGACGCAGACAGCTGTTTCACGGTCGTTACCGATCATCAGTACGTCATAGGCCTTAGGAAGTGAGGTATATAAGCATGTCAAGTGGGCGTTTGACCCTCACTGTTGTGGTTAGGATCTCAATCCATCCCATTCTATCCGCCCGCCAGCTTGTTACTGGCGACAACGGACGCTGTGTCAGAGGACACATACCACATATAATACATGAGCAGCTCGCTAAGAGTGCAACAGACCAGACGCAGACAGCTGTTTCACGGTCGTTACCGATCATCAGTACGTCACAAGCCTTAGGAAGTGAGGTATATAAGCATGTCAAGTGGGCGTTTGACCCTCACTGTTGTGGTTAGGATCTCACTCGATCCCATTCTGTTCGAGTTCGTTGTCGCCAGTAGCAAGCTGGCGGGCGGACAGAATGGGATCGAGTGAGATCCTAATCACAACAGTGAGGGTTAAACGCCCACTTGACATGCATATATATATATAGATATACATATATATCGATATGCGTAAAGATTCGAGGTCCAGACATTGTATCGCGTTCATCATCTCCCGAAAAAGACGAAGAAGTAGAGAGGGCGAATTCATGGACCATATTGTATTCGAACTGACGTTTCGGAAACTTCCTCGTTTCCATCATCAGAGTAGCGTAATTGTTGCACTTGCCGGTCTTGAGTTGTTCAGTCTTGCCGCTTGCCTCGTATTATAGCCGTGCTGGACGCACGAACTTTGACCTGCCTGTTTGCCGCTGACTGGCTTAGACCTCCCAGGGGCTGACCGCTGACAGGCCTGCGTGACCTTTGGGGTCGGCGTAATTGTGGTCAAATCAATGTGCCGCTTAGCCTCTCCCACGTCAGCCGGTGGACTGATCGGTCGTTGCTGTTCAGGTGAGCAGCATTCAGCTTCGCGGGCGCATCGGTGAGACAGTGTTCGGCTTTGGTCCCATGACCTCTGGCCCCCAATTCTGCTCTCTTCCGTGAGCGTTGACTCTCGGTCCCACGTGCTCGCTTGCCTTACTGGTCCTGTCCGGACTGATCCGAGCCTTCTACGGAGTGCTTGGTAGGCGGGATGGAGATCTATAGCTCGGTTGAGTGTACCAGTCGAGGACCAACTTTCGAGCACCAGTCTGGCCATCTTCTCATTGGCTCGACCAATTACCCTCGCTTTCTCAAAGGCAAAATCGTGGTTCAGTTCTCTTATGTGGCCATAGACCAAAGACAGCTTGTCCTTGCGATTGATTGCAAGTTGGTGTTCGTGCAATCTTGTACCGAGGCGTTTGCCCGTTTCACCAACATACCTTGCATTGCAATTTTGGCATGGTATGCTGTATACCACCGCCGACTGTTCTGTTGTTGGAAGCGGGTCTTTGGGCTTCATGATTTGCTGTCTGATGGTGCATTCTGGTTTATGAGCCACGCCAATCCCAAAAGGTTTCAGGATTCTTGCCGTTGCCTCTGATACGTTCTTCACATAGGGTATTGAGAGCCAGAACTTGGGCTTTTCTCCACTCGACCGCTCAAAATGAGGCTTTTTGAGGCAACTGCGTACGAAGGACTTCGGGTAGCCGTTGGCTTTGAAAAGGGCGTGTAAGTAATTCATCTCCTCCTTCCTCCCACTGTCGTCGCTACAGTGTGTTTGAACACGTTGAAAGAGAGTTCTGACACAACTGCGTTTATGACCAACAGGGTGGTTGCTTCGGAAGTGGAGGATGCGCCTGGTATTTGTTGCCTTACGGTAAACCGTTGTCCTTATCTTCCCGTCTGTCAATCTCGTAACTTGTACGTCCAGGAAGGGCAACTGATTGTTGACTTCCTCTTCCATAGTAAACTGAATATCGGGAAAGATGGAGTTCAACAATGCCTTGAAAGCCTTCACCTCGCTCCTCTTGATTACAACGAACGTGTCGTCGACGTATCTGGCCCAGAACTTCGGGGGGTACGAGCTGAAGACCTGCTGCTCGAGTCTCTGCAAAACTGCTTCGGCAATTAGTCCAGACAGAGGCGAGCCCATCGGTGTCCCCTTCTTTTGCTCGAAGACTTGGCCGTTGAATGTAAAGAAGGTCTTAAGACACAGTTCTAGGAGCTCGATAATGTGTGCTCGTTTGAGCTGTTGGTCGGTTTCATCATACTTTTCCCGGAGAAAGCCATCAATAGTGTCGATAGCCAGCGCGGGTGGGATGGAGGTGAATAATGAGATCACGTCAAATGACACCCTCACCTCATCTGCCTCCACTTCGAGGTGTTTGATGCGCGTCAAGAACTCTTCAGCTGACTTCACTGTCCACTGCGAATCCTTGGTAAGGAAACAAAGTCGCTGGTACAGCCACTTTGACAGCCCAAAGGTTGGAGTTCCACGTATAGAGACGATGGGGCGTAGCGGTACCCCCTGCTTGTGGACCTTTGGTAGGCCGTAGAAGCGCGCCATCGCGGTATCACTGGCTTTTGCGGCCAACGCCTCCCTTCTCGTAAGAGCTCCCGCCTTCCTCAGCTTGCCGATCGTATTGTTTATGCTGTTTACGAGCTTTTTAAACTCGCTGACGGTCGATGGCACATAAGCTTCCTTGTCCATCAAGAGGTTGCCTAGATTTGTGCAGTACTCAGCCTTATCCATGACGACAGTCGAGCGCCCCTTGTCGGCGGGCAGGGTGACGATATCCTTTATTTTTCGTATCTTCAGAAGTTCTCGATCTTCTGCTTTAGAAATCGTCATCTGGCGTTTGTGTTGGAGGAGTAAGGTCGACACTTGTTGTCGCATGGCGTTTTTGCACTCCTCGCCTGCCTCACACTTCTGGAGCGTCGATTCAAAGGATGCAATAAAGTCTTCTGGTCGAGCATTTCTTGTGTTGAACTTCGCGTCATAGGATAGAACCGCTAGTTGTTGCTGAGTGAAACGATGAGAGGACAAGTTGTGAACCAAGGCACCGTCAGTAGAGGGCTGCTTTGGCGGACTTATTTTCTCAAATTTTCCAGACAACTGGTCATCACGCAACTTGCGGTGACGCCGTGCGCTGTCGAGAATTGCCGTTTGAGGATCCCCAGCTCGTGTGCCGTAAAGATCGAAACGTCAGTTCGAATACAATATGGTCCATGAATTCGCCCTCTCTACTTCATCGTCTTCTTCGGGAGATGATGAACGCGATATATATATATATATATTGGAAAGGTAATACCGACAAAGACAAGGGAGACCGGAATGGCCATTTCTGGCTTATTAGCCGTCATCAGCCAGTCATACCCAACCCCAAGTGTGGATCACTTGAGATTCGAACCCGGGATCTTTGGTCATGGAGTTAAACGCTCTACCATTGAGCCACGGGCCCGTTGTCCTGTCGGTTGTGATCGGGAATATTAATTATGATAGTGGGCGCTCACCGATCAGGTTACGGAACATGCTCGTTCCGTTGTGCCTTGGGGCTCATACTTAAACCCTCGCAGGCAGTCGCACAGCGACTAGTGATATATGTTGGAAAGGTAATACCGACAAAGACAAGGGAGACCGGAATGGCCATTTCTGGCTTATTAGCCGTCATCAGCCAGTCATACCCAACCCCAAGTGTGGATCACTTGAGATTCGAACCCGGGGTCTTTGGTCATGGAGTTAAACGCTCTACCATTGAGCCACGGGCCCGTTGTCCTGTCGGTTGTGATCGGGAATATTAATTATGATAGTATATATTATTATGATACATATATCAGTTCTTCCACTTGGACTGCATATAATTAGCAGTGACCTTTCAGGATAGAAAATAGCAGGCTTATCATAGCACCACTTTTAGCGCTGTCCATCTCTTCATGAAGCAGGAAAACAAATAAAACAAATTTATCAAGTTTGTCTGCACTTTGGCTAAGTCTGTTTTGATTGTCTGTTAAGTCAATATAGCGCGTGCTGGGAGTTTGTTCTATGTTAAAAAAAACCTGGGTTCCAAGACATAATAATAGGAAAATTTAGAAAGAAAATCGCGCTGCATGATATAGAGAATCAAGTTTGGCGTTTGATAGTTTTCAGGGTTACGAATATCTGCCTTTCGTGGAACTTAGAGAACTTTGATTTCGGCCTGATGTTGAATTAACTGCGAGTTAATCATTTAGGATGTATGCTAGTTCCCGGTTGCCAGTTTTAGACAGTGGCTTAGATCTAATCGCGTAGTTCGTTTGTTTCTCCCGAATTGACAACATTCGGAGGGCTGTCGACTGTAATCGCAAATGACGTCCTATTCCTATAAATGTCAACCGAAAAAGACTCGAAGAATTGAAAGCGCTGAAGTCTTCAGGTCTAACACGATTTAAGTTCGAACACTTTTTTGATAGGAAATGAGCTCATAGAGGGCTGCCCTACAAAAGCAACAACCTGCGATCGCCAATTAGTCTCAGGCCAAATTTCTGAATGCATTATCTGGAAAGTCAGCGGTAGGATCTTAAAAAGCAATTCCTAGGTATCAAAAACCCACTGCTGGACTGCCGAGACGGGTTCAAAAAGGTGAGGTATTGTTAGGTCAGTCTGTCACCATATTCCCAAATAAATCCTCAAATTGTCGACTGCAGTGGTTTAGAGTCGACCAATGTACTCGGTGTCTATTTAACTTCAATAAATTCGCCGATGAAATAGAATATTCGGTCAGCGAGGCAGCCTTAAAAGATAAAAGCCAATAACATCACCACCATGACGTTATTTAATTCCTTTAATTCCAAATTCGCTCTCCAAAGATAGATATAACCATCAGGTCGTTGCGAAATCCATATGACAGCAGGTTACAATCAAAATTCAGACCTGGAGGCCTCATGCAGTATAAAATGAAAAACCTTTGTTGGTGTATAAAGAAGAAACGCTAACATACTAAGTCTCACGAAACTTTGTTTTATGCGAAATCCCTAGCTAACATAAATAATTTCGCTTTGCTTTGTAAGCCGTTGCGCGGGGTCTCTCCAAAGATTTCGTGTTGTGAACGGAGTAGTTCGTAGCGTCTCCTTTCAATGTTCAAAATCAACCAACCCATAAGATCACCATTGAGCCTCGCATTTTAAAGACAGGGCTGGATTTTCGGAAACCCTTCCTGTCTTTCAAGTTTGACAGAAAAGTGGATGCCTTCCCCATAAAAGTTTTGATGTTCACATTTTCCGCCATTACAATGACAATCTTGACTAGCCAACGGTTATTTTAAATAAATAAATAAATAAATTTTAATTTAATGCCAGTTTACAGGCATTGTCAAGGGAAGCGATTAAACACAAATCCGAACAGCAGTGAAAAAAAACTCCTGAGCTTAAGGCATAAAAATATAGTTGATGGTGTTTTTTGTGGTTTGGAGGGCTCAGGAGAAAAAAACTGTCGGCGGTGGTAGAATATCGACCGTCAAGAAGGGGGGAGGTTGCACGGTATCGGAGATTATCGGACGTCAAATTCCTTTCATGAAGTTGGGGATAGTCAAAGTAGAGGCGTTGAGGAACAGCTGGTGAGACCGGCCATCGTGTTCAGAGACCACAAACGCCATCGCTACGGTACAGTCGATCAGTAGATTCAGCACCCAAAATTTGTGGGAGCTTTTCTGAATGCAAAAATCGAGTAATAGTTCTCTTAACTAAAGGAAAATTTTGCAGAGTTTTCACACTCATGGGTAGTTTATTCCAAATAGCAATTGCATTTACAGAAAAGAACCGACGATATTTAACAATACGTGCCAGAGGCAGAAATAAGAAGACCTCACGGTGACTGTTACGTCGTGGGTGGATATGATGTCTTAAAGAGGTGAGCGGGTTAAATGTGTGATTATATAAGAGTCTAAATAGCAAAAATAGTCCCTTTTGTAATCTACGGAACCATAAAGGATCGAGGCCTGTAAGCCGGCAACGTTCTTGGTAAGACAAATGTCGGTGTTCTGGGGTTAAAATTTTCTTAGTAAAAAAGTGTTGAACGGATTCTATTTTCTTCCGCTCAGTAGCACGCATGAGGCTAAATGAAAACGAAGAGTATTCCAGACCAGGTCTAACGTACATGTTGAAAAGGCGCATTCTAATGTCCCTAGTTTTAAAATTTCGGACGATAAACCCGGTCGTTCTACGTGCTTTGGAGACTATCAAGGCACAGTGCTCCGAGAGATTAAGACTCTTGGAGTATGATACGCCCAAATCCCTTATATCCCCTGGTACATTTATTGCGTGACCTTCAATACTTAGTTGAGGTTGGCGGTCGTCGCCAACCACCATGACTGAGCACTTATGCCAAGAAAGAGAAAGGCGCCATGTGCGGCACCACTGGGCGAAAGCCTGTAGATCGCTCTTTAGGAGCTCAAGCACGATGTCATGATCTGCCGGCCTATATCGATATGCAACTTTAAGATCATCGGCATACATGAAAGGCTTACCATTCTGAAATAAATCGGGTACATCATTAACGAAAAGGCAAAATAAAAGCGGGCCGAGTACACTACCCTGAATGACTCCACTCCTCCCACGTGTAGGTTTGGAGATAGTATTGGAAATCTTAACTTGTTGTGTACGAGTGCCCAGGTAAGAGGATATAAAATTCAAAAGTTTGCCACCTATTCCGAAAGAGGACAATTTCAAGAGAAGAAGAGCATGGTCAACACGGTCAAAAGCCTAAGTGAAATCGAAATATACTGTGTAAAGTGCAAAATCATTGTCCCTAGATTGGAGAACCTAGTCAAAGAAAGAGAGTTGACAGGTGTCACAAGATCGAGCTTTGAGGAATCCATGCTGAGCAACACTCAGTAAGTTGTTCGCTGTTAAGTGACACATCATCTTATCCTTGATCAATGTCTCTAAGATTTTCGAAACTGCAGGGAGGGTGTTTATTGGCCGAAAGTCATCAAATGATGTAGA